GTTCCCTCAGGATTACATCATGTTCATGGGGTCTGTGGGGTGTTCCCTCAGGATTACATCATGTTTATGGGGTCTGTGGGGTGTTCCCTCAGGACTATGTCATGTTTATGGGGTCTGTGGGGGTTCCCTGAGGATTATGTCATGCCCATGGGACCTCAAAATGACACCATGTCTACAGGGCTGGGCCAGCAGACGTGGCCCCCTCCTCACCTGAGCAGCCTGCATGGCCTCCTTCAGGTCATAGTCAATCCGGGAGATGAGGTGGGCATCAAATCCAGCCAGAGCAAACAGCGTAGGGGTCGTGGCAGATGCTCCAAAGGGGTCGACGTGCCAGGAAAAGCGTGGCCGGATGCCGAAGGTCTCGTAGAGAAAGCCGTGTCCTTCTGCAGAGAGAGCACCGCATGCTGGACTGTGGCCCCCACGGTCACATGAGCCCTTCATGGACATCACTACAGGACAAGGCTGCAGGTGGTCCAGGACGTATCAGGGCCTCTAGGGCCATCATGATCCCTGCCCCTGACTGGCTGTCATATCTGCCCAGCAGTGAACGTGGGCATTATGGATTGGCTAAGGCTGCCGGCAGGCCAGGATGTGTTGCAGACCCTGACATGCTCTCCTTCAGAGCCTGTCCCTTCTAACCAACTGGAGGTGACCATGTGGGCCAGGTAGGGGACTCAGGCCAGACACCAAGGGTGCGGTCTTGCCTTCTCATGGGTCATCCGCCAGCTGTCCTTTTTCCCAAGGTCCTGCGACCCCCCAGTGGTAAGGACGGAGGCCACAGGCAGCAAGAGGCTGTGGTCAGTCACTTAGTTAACAAAACAGGTGTCCGCCTTCCCAGGCTGACTGCAGCCTGAGCTGCTGTGACTCTGAGGACATGGCACTTGATTGAAGCCAGAGTCTGTGGTCAGTCCTCAGCCAGGGTGCTTGCTATCCAAGAGCTGTCCAGCCTCGAGCCACAGTGGGCAGTGAGTCAACAAGCAGCTAGTGGTCAGCTGCTAACCAGAGGCCACAGTCTGGACCCACCACACGTCTCTTCAGGGTGGCCTAGTGGTAAGGAGCTGAGCTGCCAATATAAAGGCATGAGTTCGAATCCACAACCTGGCCTGTGGGAGAAGGATGGGCAATTTCTCTCCTTCCACGCGTGCATCGTTCAAGAAGCTGGACTCTATGAAAAAGAATGTGGCACCAAGACCAGGGGAGACTCATCAATCACCTGCCTTATGCAAATGACACAATCTTGCCTGCTGAAAGTGAGGAGGACTTGAAGCACTTGTTGCAGAAGATCAAAGCCTTCTCTAAGAGTTACACTTCAACATCAAGAAAACACACGTTGTCCCCACTGGACCAACAGGCAGCATCATGACAGATGGAGAAGATTGAAGTAGCCAAGGTTTTCATTTTACTTGTATCAACACAATCAACAACCTACAATCCACGCTTGTGGAAGCAGCAGTCAAGGAACTAGAGGCCACATGGCACGAGCACGTGTGCTGTCAGGACCTCATCACGCTGTTCTCAGGTGCTTCCTACACACCTGCAAGCTGGTGGGTGGGAAGACCAGTGAATGATTTTGGTGCTGAGAAGCCAAACAAAGGGAAGAGATGGACAGAGATTTCAAAGGCCAGCTCAAGAAGACAGAGCAAACTATGAGAGTGGAATGAGCAGCCTACCATGCAAGTACCCAAACTAGAATTGGAGAATAAAAAGGGAAGAACTCACTCAACATCTCTCAGGATGAAAGAACTGAAATATTCAAGCCTGGAGTTGGAACAGTGAGAGATGCTACGGGCAAAATCTTGAATAAACCATCGCAAGAACAAGGAAACAGCCTAAATGTCCAACCACAACTGAGTGGATAGAGAAATTGTGTACATTCACACAATGGAATACTATGTAGCACTCAGGAGCAAAGCTCCAGCAGCCAGGAAATCAAAAGACGTATCGCTATAGGAGTCTACTGTTAGAGACTCTCTAAAGTACTGAAGAGCAATGGTGTCACTTTGGAGACTAAGGTGCGCTGGATACAGGCCATGGTCTTTGCAATCACTTGCTATGCATCAGAGAGCTGGACAATGACTAGGGATAATAGAAGGAGAATTGATGCCTTTGAGCTGTGGTTTTGGAGAAGAGTATTGAATATACTATGCACTGCTAAGAAAATGAACAGGTTCATCCTAGAGAGGGTTAAACCATGCTGCTCCTTGGAAGCAAGGATTCTGAAGCTTTGTCTGACATATTTTGGACGTGTTGCAAGGAGGCACCAGTCCTTAGAGAGAGACGTCATGTTGGGAGAGTGGAGGGACAGCTCAGGAGAGGAAGACCCTCTATGAGGTGGATTGATTCATTAACTGGGGTAGTCAGAGTGGGTGTGTCGGAGACAGACTGGCACAGGATAGAGCAGGATTTAGGGTTGTTTATATAGGGTTGCTATGAATTGCAGGTGACTTGACAGCACATAACAACAACAACAACAGTTATAACTTGGGAGAGACCGGAGAGCATTTGCTGAGTGAACTAACTCAGTCTCATAAGGATAGATACTGCAGAAGACCATTATTGTAAAAATAGAAGGATAACTAGTAATACACGTATGGGAACTCAAAGGGGGAAGTGGTGGGAGCGGAGGGGTGAGGACGGGTAGTGGTGAAACCACAGGGTTGCACAGTTTGGTGGTGGTGGTGGGGAAATGGGAGGCATCCAGGTGAAAAGAGGGTAATGATGGGCAAAGTCCAATGGTGATTAATTTTATAAAACATAATGCATGGAAATGATTGTACGAAACACAATATGAATGAAGACTAGGATAAAACACAATGTAAATGAACTTTATAAGCAAATAAATATAAAATGTAAAAGAGAAGATGGAGGGATCCTGTCAAATGAGTCAGGGCACTTCAGAGCAGAGCCTGAGTCACCCAGTGAGTGGAAAGACCCTATACAGACCCCGATACCAAACAATCCACGAGGAGACAGCCCAGAGCCTCGGTCGGGACCTGGAGGCCCCAGAAGGGCAGGGCGAGCTCAGGTCCTGAGGCAGGAGGGCGAGTGTCCAGTGTTCTGGGACCCGGACATTCCTGAAGAGGACTCTGGAGACCCCGAGGTGGTGGCCCTTCTCGCTGCCCCGTCACAGGGACTGGTGACATTCCATGACGTGGCTGTACGCTTCTCCCAGGACCAGTGGGGTCGTGGGGATCCAGCACAGAGAGTTCCACGGAGAGCACATGCTGGAAGAAGGCTGCAGAACTGTAGTATCTCTGTCATTTCCAACCCCAACCAGAGGAGAATGTCCAGGTTCGAGAGGAAGAGTCATTTCCCCCCCCCCTTGTGTACCATTGAATCGGATCAACTGGCACAGGAGGAGACTGCCCCTCCTTCTCCAGCAGAACACCTGGTGGATTCGAACTGCATGCCTTCAGGACTGCAGCGCAGCTTGCCACTAGGCCACCAGAGCTCCCTAGAAAGTCTTTTCCCCCCTAATTATATTGGTTTGCTTACAAAGTTTGTATACATTTGTTTCACACCTTTGAAAGGAAGACTCTTGTGTCCCAACTACCCAAGAACTCAAGAGCCAGAAATGCTGAGGTTTACCCGCACAGGAACCAGAGTGAGGGGGTACCGTGAGGGGAGGACTGAGTCGCGATGTCTACAAGGGTCCTGGTAGGCCCAGAAAGTCAGCGGACTCCTGGCTGGGATCCACTCTGTGGGGATAATCTAAGCAGATTTAATGGCATGAAATTTGGTACAAATATTTATCAAGGTGACAGTTTCACAGATCTTCAAGATCCTATGCCCGTCCACTCCCTGTGAGGGGTCATCATGACCGTCCTGTATCTGGTAACTCTAGCTGAGAAGTCACAGGGGAGAAATCCTATAAATGCGCACAGGTGGGGGCTCACATCTCACCAGGCACCAACGATCCACGGATGGAGGCTTTCCAGCCTCCCCTGGACCAGAAGAGTGCAGCTGAGACCGTAGCGATGATCCACACTGAGGGGATGCTACCTGAGAAACTCTACAGATGCGACGACTGCGGGGAACAGACCTTGCCAGGCCCTGGAGGACACGCAGGGAAACCCCTTTCCTATACTACTTCTTTATCTGAGAGGCTAGGCTCTATTGAGAGAAATGTGGCATCAAGATTGGAGGAAAATTCAACAACCTGCATTATGTAGATGACACAACCCTGCTTGTTGAAACTGAGGAGGACCTGAAGCGCTTGCTGTAGGGGGTCAAGGACTGCAGCCTTCAATATGGACTGAAGCTCAACATCAAGAAGACAAAGATTCTCATCACTGGGCTAATTGGCAGCATCTTGATGGATGGTAAAGAGACTGAGATTGTTAACAGCTTTAGTTTGCTTGGCTCCACAATCAACACTCTTGGTACCAGCAGCCAGAAAGTCAAAAGATGAATTGCATTGGGAAAGCCTGTTGTCAGAGACCTCTCCAAGGTACTGAAGAGCAGCACTGTCTGTCTGGAGACCAAGGTGCGCCTGATCCAGGCCACAGTCTTTGCAATCACTTGCTATGCAACAGAAATCTGGACAATGACAAGAGATGATTAAAAAAAAAAAGCAGTGATGCTTTTGAGCTGTGGTGCTGGAGAAGAGTGTTGACATGGACTGCCAGGAGAACAAAGATGTTCATCCTGGAAAGAGTGAAGCCAGGCTGCTCCTTGGAGGCAAGGATTCTGAAGCTTCGTCTGACATACTTTGGACATGCTGCAAGGAGGAACCGGTCCTTGGGGAGGGATGGCGTGCTTGGGAGGGTGGAGGGACAGCGCAGGAGGGGAAGACCCTAGATGAGATGGATTGATAGTGGGGTAATGTGGGTAGATGTGTCAGAGACAATAAGATTGGCACAGGACAGAGCAGGTTTCAGGGCTGTTGACCTAGGGTCGCTATGAGTTGTAAGCGACTCAACGGTACATAGCAACAACATACTATTTGTGGCAAAAGCTTTCGTCAGAAATCTGTGGAAATAACATAGCAAAGGGTCACTGTTGGAGATAAACGCTGCTTGTGTGGAGAGGGCCTCCCCGGCCCCAGGCAGCACCTGACACACCAGCAGCCGCCTGCAGACGAAGAACTCTGCCTCTGTAATGAGTGTGCACAGGGCCTGGACCACGGTGCAGCCTCTGCCAGGCACCCGACAGGATGTGCTTCAGTAACGCCCTCCCCATGCTGTGGGTGTGTCGGAGGGACCAGCTCGCCAGGCACCTGAGCGTACATGCTGGCTGTGCAGGACCCCAGGTGTGAGACCCCTTGTGCAGGACCATGGGTGCAGGACCCCCGGGGTGCAGAGCCCCTAGGTGCGAGACCTCCAGGTGCAGGACCTCTGGGTGCAGGACCCCGTGTCCGCCAGTGGAGGAGAGTGGGTTACCCCCATGAAGACCAAAGGCCTCCCTCTCTGAAGTTCTTGAGGTCAACAGTCACCACCGAGGACAGCAGTGACCACTGAGGTCAGCAGGGACCGCCCAGGACAGAAGTGACTTCCCAGGTCAGCAGTGACCACCCAGGGCAGCAGTGACCGCCCAGGACAGCAGTGATTACCCAGGACAGCATTAACAATCCCCAGGACAGCAGTGACCACTGAGGACCTCAGTGACCACTCAGGACAATTGAGGTGAGGCTGCAGTGTCAGCCAGACCCTCTCCAGCCTCCACGCTTTTCATGGGGCCCTGGAACGCTGAGGTCCGTGCGGGCACCCTCTGTTCCAGGCCCAGCTGACACAGGCGAGTCCCCAGCACTGCCACCCTCCCAGTGAGCTGAGCCTCACAGCTCGGGGAGCAGGAGGCGGCTCCCACCCCCAGAACAGCTGCCCACAACCCTCTTAGAAGCACCAAGGTGCTGAGAACAGGCCTCTTCGCTTGTGAGAAATGTCAAGTCTAAATTAAGGGGCGGGGGCATGGCTGCTGAAGATGGGAGGTGGGGGGAGGTGAGAACGGGGAGAGCACAGGCAGACCTGCGGATGCTGCCCAGGGCTGGAGGGTGAGCAGCTGGGGAGACGTGGGCATGCTGGGTGGGAGGGCAGGGCTCTGGGCACAGTGGGCAGGTGGGTGGAGCACTGGACACGGTGAGCAGTGCGCTGGGCATGGTGGTAGTCTAAGATGGGGGTGCTGGGGACTGCAGGTCTGGGGGTGCTGGACACAGTGGCAGCGGGCAGTGCTGGGGCTGAAGGGCAGCCAGCAGTGCCCAGGACAGCATGGGCGGCGCTAGGAGCTGGGACGGGCAGCTCAGGGAAGCAGGGAAAGATTTGCCCTTGGGAAGGTCAGAGGCCTCCAGGCTGGGGGGGCCCCAAATGCCCACCCGCCAGGACCACACTTCTCCCTCCCTGACCCAGGACCAGCTCTCGACAGGAGTGGGATGATGGGTCAAGAAAGGCGGCACCCCTCCCCAGAGGCACACTCCTGGGACAGACGCAGGGCTAGATGGCCAGCTTCAGAATGTGAGGTTGAGAAGACCCCAGGGTCCAGGCCACACCCCACCTCCACACACTCTTACTGCCACTCCCTGAACGCCCATCTGTGAAATACGACCCTTAACCTCACCACCTGCACTAGACGCTTTATAAAACTTGCCTTGTACCCGAGGAAACTGAGGCCTGGTCAAGACAGGCGGAGAGACGCGCTCTGGCCCTGTGGCTCCAGAGCCCACTCTCAAGTCCTCTGCCCAGGACTCAGCGAGTCACTGTCTCACTATGAGGGTGGACAGAGCCAGAAACAGGTCCTCTGACAACAACCCCCAGCCCGGCTGGAGGCCCTGAGGCCCCCTGTGTGTCAGCTGATACCCACCCCGGCCTGGCTGAGCCCCTGAGACCCCCTG